TACCACTACTACTACTACTACTACTACTACTACTACTTCTACTTCTACAACGAATTCTGCTAACGATACTTGTGCTACTTATTCGTGTACTCATACTAGTAATCCAACTACTAATACTACCATCACTACTGCGTCTAATAATACTGCTACGACTACTTCTGCCGCTTATTTTGCTACTATTACTAATGCAACTAAATATAATGATGCTGCTACTAATTCCATTACTCCTACTAATATTATTTATAATCTTTCAACTATTTCTACTAATAATTCTAACACCACTACTTCTATTGCTATTACTGCTACTACGACTACTACTACGAATATTGTTGTTTCTACCACCACTACTACTAATAATAGTCTTATTACTATCACTTATACTTCTACCGCTCGTGCTTCTTCTAATACTAATTGTGCAGCTACTACTAATCCCTCTACCTCTGGTTTTATTTCTACTTCTATTACTACTAATTCTACCACAGATATTAATTCCAATACTACTACTAATTCTGGTACTACTAATAAGGCAACTACTACTGCCACTACCACCATTGCTTCTACGACAAATCCTACGGCTAATTTTACGACTACTAATACTTATAATGCTACTGTACTTCTACTTCTAAGCCAACTACTGATACTACTACGAATGCAACTACCACTAATAATAATAATTCTACCACTGGTATTTCTTATATTACTACTTCAACTACTACCTTGATTTCATCCCTACTTAACACACCCCTGACTCTTAAAGAGATGCCCCCTCTCAAACTATGCAAATGACTGCACTTTATGCTGATTGTATATAACTGCACTTAAACTTTCATGTGTACACTGAGAAGACCGCCTGCCGCACGCTTAGCAGTCCCGCATTGTGAAAGTTTCCCGTGAACAAATATGTTACTGACAAAATTCTAGTAAGATGTACATTTAACATTTATATTTTATGTACCGTTTTCAATAGGGTCATCAAGGGCATTGCCTATTACCCTAAAATACAATACAATACCCCTACTACTACTACTACACATATCATTATTACTACCATTAACACTACTAACTCTATAACTTCTTCTAGCTCTGCTATTAGTTTTGCTATTATTGCTGATACTACTACCACTGCTCATACTACTAATACTACTACTACTCTTCGTACTACAAGTACTACTCATAGCAGGGCAACAGCTACTACTTTTCTACTTATATTAATACTACTACCGCTCTGCTGC